TGTTGAATTTTATCAAATGGTTTTACTGCATCAATTGCTTTAATCATATGATTTGGGCTTTAGCTTGTTAATAGGGTGGATTACCTTGATTTGCAAATATTGTACTATTACTACATCTGTGGATTAAACCTCACTTAGTCAAGGTATATAATTCTTGTTACATAGTGCTCAATTCTATTATTTTGTTAAAGATTTTGTGTCTATATTAATGAGGTATATTGGTTTGTAATTCTATTTTGGGGGGACTGTCTTTGTCTAGTTTTTTTTTTAATGTTTATTTATTTTTCAAAGAGAGACAGAGTGTGAGTCAGGGAGGGGAAGACAGAGAGGGAGACACAGAATCAGAAGCAGGCTCCAGGCTTTGAGTTATTAGCACAGAGCCTGGTGCAGGGCTCGAATTCACGAACCATGAGATCATGACCGGAGCTGAAGTTGAATGTGTTACCGACTGAGTCACCCAGGCGCCCCTAATTTGTTTGTTCTTTTTTAATGTTTATTTATTTTTGAGCTAGAGAGGGACAGAGCGTGAGCGGGGGAGGGGCAGAGAGAGAGGGCGGCACAGAACCCAGAACCGGCTCCAGGCCCTGAGCTGTCATCACAGAGCCCATCTCAGGGCTCAAACTCTTGGACTGAGATCATGGCCTGAACCGAAGTCGGACACTTAACTGACTGAGCTACCCAGGCGCTCCTGCCTTTGCCTAGTAGTAGCAGGGTAATATCAGCTTCATAAAATGTGTTGGGAAGTATTTCCACTGGTTCTGTCTTCTGGAAGAGATTGTGTATAATGAATTTTACACTTTAAAAGGGTGACTTTTATTGTCTGTATGTGATACCTCAATTTAAGGAAATAACATACCCATTAGGAAAAAGATTGAATAGGAAACAAAACAAAATCTTGGTGTTAATTGTTGTAATTGGTTACGTGGTGTTCATTCTTTCTTTTTTTAACTTTTTTTTTTTTAAGTTTTTTTACTGAGAGACAGAGCATGAGTGGGGGAGGGGCAGAGAGGCAGAAGCAGGCTCCAGGCTCTGAGCTGTCAGCACAGAGCCCCAACGCGGGGCTCAAACCCGCAAACCATGAGATCATGACCTGAGCCAAAGTCTGGTGCTTAACCGACTGAGCCACCCAGGCGCCCCGGTGTTCATTTTTAAGCATTTGGTAGAATCTTCTAGTAAAACCATCTGAACCGGGAGATTTCTGACAGGTTTTAAATTTTGAATTCAATGTTTTTCATGGTTACGGAGAATATTCAAATCATTTGTTTCCTTCTGGGTGAGTTGTGGTAATTTGTGTTTTTTTGAGGAATTAGTACGTTTCATCAGAATTTTCATATTTATGTGTGGACTGTTTGTCGTCTTCACTTCTTATCCTTCTGATCTCTGAAGTGCTAGCCCCTGTTTCACTCCTGATACCACTAATTTGTGTCTGCACCCTTTTTCCTCTGCTATACATTTGTCCATTTTACTGATCCTTTCAAAGAACAAACTCTCTGTTTCATCAGTTTTCCCTATTGTTTTTCTGTTTAAAATTCCATTGATTTTTTTTGCTCTTATATTTTTATTCCTTCCTTCTACTTTGTGTTTCTAGATTCTTCTTCTGTTTCTAAGTTCTTGGGGTGGGAGCTTAGCTTATTGATTTAAGACTTTTCCTCTTTTTTTTTTTAATGCATATAGTTAGCTTTGAATTTCTCAGCACCACTTTAGTTGAGTCACACAAATTTTGGTATGTTTTATCTTCATTTTCATTCAGTTCAGTGTACCTTTTCATTTCCTTTGAGACTTCTTTTTTTTTTTGATTCATGGATTATTTAGAAGAGTGTTGTTCAGTTTACAAGTGTTTGGAGGTTTTCTTATTCTATTGATTCCCAGTTTGATCCCATTGTGGTTGGAGGACACACTTTGTATGTTTTGATTTTTTTTTAATGCATTGTTGCTCAAGATATGGTCTGTCTTGGTGTATATTCCATAGGCACTTGAAAAAAAATATATATATATACCTATACTTTCGCTTTCTATATTATTTCTTCTTTCCTGAAGTTCCAAGGTTCCTTCTTTTACCTTTGCTTTCTGATTAGAGAACCTTCTTTAGGGGCGCCTGGGTGGCTCAGTCAGTTGAGTGTCTGACTTTAGCTCAGGTCATGATCTCACAGATTGTGAGTTTGAGCCCCACATCAGGCTCTGTGCTGACAGCTCAGAGGCTAGAGCCTGCTTCTGATTCTGTGTATCCCTCTCTTTCTCTGTCCCTTCCGCACTCAACCTCTGACTCTCTCTCCTTCAAAAATAAATAAACATTAAAAAAATTTTTTAAAGAGAACTTTCTTTAGCCATTCTTTAGGGCAAGGCTTTTGGTGACAACCTCTCTTCATTTTCCTTCATCAGCACAATGTCTTGATTTCCTTTCATTTCTGAAGGGTATTTTCTCCGGGTGTGGGAGCTTAGGTTGACGATTTCTTTCTTTCAGCGCTTGAAAAATATTATGTCACTTCCTTCTGGCTACCATGATTTCTGACGAGAAATCTGCTGTTATTTGAACTGTATTTCCTATATAGATAATGGTGCCCTTTTTTTCTCTTGCTGCTTTCAAGATTCTGTTTTCTATAGTTTTCAGAAGTTCAATTGTCATGTGTCCTGATATGGGTTTCTTTGGGTTATCCTGTTTGGCATTTACTTGGTTTCTATATACATCTATAGGTTTGTGTCTCTTGTCAGATCTGAGGAGTTTTCAGCCATTATATCTTTGAGCACTTTTCTGGCCCCACCTTCTTTATCCTCTTTCTGGCGCTCTGATGGCACCACATCCTAGCCCAGCAAGGATGGAAGTCAAGGCTCCCCACTTGACCTTCACCACTAGGTGACAGTGGTGTTTGGCTGGAGTAAAAGCAATTATTGTCTGACAGTTTTCTGGCTTGCTGGGCCTGTCCCTTTCCCAGTCCTGTGGACGCAGACAGTAGGCTTTTGATGGGGATTTTCTTTTCCTTGTCTGTCCGTTGGTATTTCTGGACTGCTGGCTTCTTTAGCTCCAGGTTTAAGACATATAAGGCAAGCAGACAGACAGACAGACAAAACAAAAAGCTAAGTAACTCAACCATCACGCCATTTCTTGGGTCCTGCGGTCTCAAGCCAGTCTGCCTTCGTCTTTCTGACCTATCAGTCTTCTTTTATATTTTATACATGATGTCCAGGGTTTGGGGGGGGGTATTCAATCTTTTTTATAATTAATATGTTATTTTCTTTGTTTTGGTAACTTTTTTTAGAGGGAGGGAAGGGCAGAGGGAGAGAGAGAATCTTAAGCAGGTTCCACACTGAGTGCAGAGCCTGACCCGGGGCCCCATCTCACGGCAGTAAGATCATGACCTGAGCCGAAATCAAGAGTCAGATGCTTAACCACCTGAGGCACCCAGGCACACTGATATATAATTTTCTTAAATTGAGATATAAGTTATGTACCACAAAATTCATCCTTTTATCCTTTAAGCAATTCAGAGGTTTCGAGTACATTCCCGAGGTTGTGACACCATCATCACTATCTCATTGCAGAACATTTTTGTCACCCCCAAAAGAAAGCCCATATCCAATAGCAATCACTTCCCATTCCTTACTTTTTCCAGTCCCTGGTAACCACTAACTTACTTTCTGTATCTATGAGTTTGCCTATTCTGAACATTTCATATAAAGGGAATTGTGTAAGATGTGGCCTTTTGTGTCTGGCTTCACTTAGCATGATGTTTTCAAGGTCTGTCTGTGTTGTAACACCTATCAACACTTCGGTCTTTTTTACTGCCAAATAATATTCTATTGTATAGATATTCCCCATTTTGTTAATCCAGTCATCAGTTGATTGTCAGTTGGATTGTTTATCCTTTTGGGCCATAATGCTGCTATAAACATTAATGGACAAATTTTTGTGTTGAACATATGTTTTTCATTCTCTTGGTTATATACCTAGGAGTCATGTGTGACCGTATGTGGTAACTCTGTGTTTAACTTTTTGAGGAACTGCCAAGCTCTTTTCCAAAGCAGCTGCACCACTTTGCATTCCCACTAGTGATGTAGGAGGGCTCTATTTTCTCCACGTCCTTGATGATGCTTGTTACTGTCCATCATTTTGATTATAGTCATCTTCAAGGATATGAAGTGGTATCGCATTGTGGTTTCGATTTGCATTTTCCTAATGACTAATGATGTCGAGCACCTTTTTATGTGCTTACTGGCATTTGTGTATCTCCCATAGAGAAATATCTATTCAAGTCATTGGCCCAGTTTTTAATTTTTTTTATTACTGTGCTAATAAGAGTTCTTTTGTATATTCTGGGTACTAGGCCCTTATCAGAAATACAATTTCTGATCAAATACGATCTCCCATTTTGTGAGTCGTCTAGTATTTTTGTTGTGCTTAGCTGGAGGAGTAGAGAAAAGTACACCTACCTCATCTTCCTGGAGGCAGAAGTCTTCCAAACTAGTTTTATAATAGCTTTTGGAAGGGCCAAAGTGTACTTCGTTGCTTAAAACTCAAAGTATTTTAAAGTCAGTGTGGGAGAGAAATCTTATTCTAGTGTTCGATTTTTTTTTGTTGTTGTTTCAAATTTAGAAATTATTTTAAAGTCAATTTTAGGGGAGGATTTTATTTTAATGTTTTTTTTCCTATGCATTTTTGTGACTTACCTCCCCGTGTATTCAGAGAAAGTATCTATCCGACGTGCCACGGCCTATTACGTGCCTGATCTTTCTGAGTAGCCCTCGGGGCCTGGGATGGCCAGCGTTTCTGCCAGCATTTTATTCAAATAGTATCAGTTATATGTGTGCCAAGAGGTGCACAGGGTGAGGAGTGCTGGTTAAGAGAGCATAAAAGTAACCTTACAGCCCAAGTGAGGCCATGGAGCCTGTCTATCGTACATTTTAAAGCTCTGCAGTCAGAGCAGTAGAAATAGGCACAGGTATGAGTGAGCATTCCTCATTTCTAGGCTAAATAGATGGGTCTTTAATCTTTTCTTATCAAACAGCGAGCAATTCAGAGTTAATCACAAGAAATCAAGAATTGCGTGGTGTCTCCAGCCTTCGCCCACATCACCTCCCAAGCTCTTCAAAGACTGCCGTCTTCCTCCTGGGTAAAGATTATTTTCGATTTCTGTGCTTCTGACTGCACTTCTCCTATAAACTCAAACACTGCTGTATAGCCACGGCTAGAAATAGCAGAATTGTTTTGAACTTGAAATATTTCTTTTGTTCCATAGGTGCCTGGGTGTATCTTACCAGCTCCCAAGCATTGCCCGACTGTGCCATGAATGGATTGTGCTTCCGATGAAATCCCTGCCGGCGTTTTGTTCGGTCTCCACCGCAGGGCTCTTGTGTATTCTCAAGCACCCTCTGTGGGTTTCCGTTCTGCAGCCCTGCAGGCTGATTAAGGGACACTTTCCAAACCACGGGGCTCTCCCTTTGTCAGTGTCCCACACTCTTTCATCGCCTGTGTTATCCCCTCATTTCAATCTATATGCGATCTCATATTTCAAACGTCTTCAGTTTTCTAAAACTCTATAGATTTCTGCCACTTAGTCTTTTCTAGTCTTATTTTTAATTTTTTTTTTTTTTTTGGTAAATTCACATTACTCTGGTTATCTCCACACAAGCTAGTTGTTTCCTTTTTTCTTCTTTTTAGTCTTTACTCTTCCTGAATATTTGCTAATAGCCTTGGTCTTAAGCACTCAAACTCATTACAGACTAGGTACTCTTCATTTTTATTTGGTATTTAATTCTGTCCTTTTTTTTTATGTCAAAGGAAGAAATGTATGTGAAAGCCTCTTACAAACCAGAAAGCGCTATACACTCATATAACTTATTGAGATTAACAAAGGACCACTGTGCCTCTTTTCACGCTTTCTGCTCCTTCTGAGCCAAAAGAACTTCTCCGGAGAGGAGGGAAATATTGAAGAAAAATAAAGCAATGGGAGTTGTCTCTTAGCAACTGAGTTCGTGCGTTGTAAATCTTGCCCACTTTAGATTACTGCTGCTCAAAATCACTTGCTTTTCATACTGGCTCGGTACAAATAATGTTATTAAATTATAGGGAAACAAAGGGAGAAAATCTAATGAATGAGTCACTCAGTGTATCGATTGTACTCTGTCTTTGCATAGCACTATTGATAGAGTTGGGTGTCTCTTTCTCTTGATTCTAAATGCAAAACTTTTATGTATATATATATAAATCTTTTGTTGCCATTTAAATTATAAGCTAAGTGGAAGCTAAATACCACCTTATGCATTTTGAGGCTACCTGAGTCTTGAAAGAGTATGGATGTCACACAGCTAGTACACAACATATGTGTTAATAAATCAAGTTGTACAGAGCTTAGAGCAAATCAGGTGTACAAAACCCCAAGCCAAATTGGGATGTGATTATTTGTGTTCTAAAATTATGTATTATAAGGATTCTGCAGACAGTAGGCCTTCATAGTGAATTTCACTTAGCAGATAATTCCGAGTGCCTTTCATGATGGACAGTGGAAGGGATAAAGATTGTGTGTGTCGGGGCGGGGGGGGGCGGTGTGTGAGAGTGTAAACAGTCTTGGGCTCTCAGTATCAGAAGGTAGATAAGGCTTGCACACAAATCAGGCGGTACAATGATAAATGCCTTGTGAGTGGTGAGCTGAGTGCTGGAGAAGTTCAGAGAAGGGAAAGGTCACTTCCAGCTGGGTGAGCTATTATGATTACATGGACAAGATGACATGTTAGAGAACAGAAGAGTAACGGAGAGTTTGTCAAGTTTAGTAATTAAGGCAAGATTGAAGAGGCAGGTAAGACGTTGGCGCCTTCAGCTCTAGAGCACGGAGTTTAAACTTCAGTCACGAAGCAATGGGGAGCTGCTGACATTTTTTTTTTTTTTAATCAAAGTCTTGTCTAGGAAAATTTATCTGGCAGTAACGTGTAATTTCAGTTAAAAAAGAACTGGTTTGCCGATAGTCTTTTAGACTCCTCTGGTTGAAAACAAAGCTGCATTTATAAATAAGCCAATTATAGAATTGATTCACTTCTAGCCTTTTTAAAAGGTAGTCAGAAACCTGTGTTCAGATGGAATTAGGTCCAGTAAGATAAGCTGCTTAGTTAAGATATAAGCAGTATATGAAGTAGGGTAAAATACTAGATTGCATAGTTTCTAAAAATCGTTTTTAATGATTGTTTTGTGTCGATGAGTCAGTCACCCGAGTGTCTTTCTCCAGCTGAAGCAATGCTGAAATCCTCCATGTTCTTTTTTCCCATCTACATGGATAGAATGAGTGTCTATAATGAAAAGAGCTTCTTATCAGTAGCCCTCTCAGATCTGATCTTAATTTTGCCAAATATTTGTACACCTCTGCAAAATACTTTTCCCTGCCTTCTCTTTCGGTGGGAAAAACAAACAAGAGGAGTGACAGCCCACCGCACAGGGTTGTTGTGAGGCTCTGCTGGTACAAAGATGAAGTGCTGTGTGAATGGTCTGAAAATGTTGATAATTGATACAGAAATGGACTTTAGACACTCTTGTTAGTAGAACCTGCTACAGATTGGAAATGCAATGTTCTGAGAATAAAGACTATATAATAAGGCTGGCTATTGTTTTCCATGCAGAGTATGCCTCAGGGAATTTAGAGCACAAAAATGGTTCCCACCTGCTACTATTAGGGAAGTAACACTTCCTACATATTTACCTCACAGTGAAATCGTGTTTTTAAAACAGCCCAACGAGAGAAGCAGCGTGTTTCTGTGAGCCGTATTACAAACTAGGAGTTTGGGAGTATCAATCCTGGCTTGGTTTCCTATTTGCTGTGTCACTGAGCAAGTCAGTCATCTCGTCTGTACCTCAGCTTTCTGTGAGGAGACTGCCTGAAGCTGCCCTAGCCAAAAGAAACTGACTGCCACGTCAACAACACGCAAATGTAGGGATCTCAGGAGCACAGAACCTAAAGCTATTATATAAAATAGCTGAAGAGCAAGATGGCAGGTCGCTGAAGAGAGCACCTCTTCCCTCACCCTGTTGACCGGTGGGTTCCCTCCTCAGGTCAATATTGCAGGGGAGAAGGAGGTACCTTCAGGAAGAATTCCTGGTTCCCACTCTGGAGATCTGGTCCTTATCTCAGAGCCATTCCAGTCTGAAGAACCTAGAAAAGATCATATTTGATTCTAATCTTGGTCTGTGGTGCTGTTTGAACCTCTTAGGCATTTTTAGTGCTTCTCTTGAGAAGGCTCAGGCCTTCCTGCAGCCCTGACTACCGTCATGTCTCTCTGAGCTTTTGGAAGGTCACAACAGCCTGACTCCAGGACTGCGCCGAGTCCTGCTGTTTTGTCCTGATTCGGAGAGTGTGTGTCTTTAGGTGGGAAAAAAAAAATTTTTTTTAAACCCAGCAGAATTTTATTCCCGGATGAATTCATAAGTGAAGATTTAATACTAACATGATGTCAGTTGTGCAGAAAAGTTCAGGAGGGTCCTTAAAAACATCAGACCGTGCCATTCATTGGAAGCATTTCTTTTATCTGAAGTTGGGGCCGAGTCCGGCGAGCCCCTCTCGAGGCTTAAAAGTTAGGAGCATGGTTTTAGAAATGAGGACTTATTTGTGATGAGTTTTCCCTTTCTGCTGTACCTTTCAAATGCCAGGCAGAGCTTACTGTGTTGAATTGAATCAAATTGAAGCATGCCCAGTAAAAAAATAATAGCCCCCGGGCTTGGGAACTAGACCTTCGTTCTTTCGGAAACCAAAACGATCCTGGCCCAGTTTTAGTGTATGGAAACTCTCCAAACCACCTTGGCAAGAGCCTGGTACCGTAGAAGCAAGCTGTAGAAACAAGGGCTGGACGCTGTCTGCGGTGGTGGGAATCTGCTGTTCGTTCTCAGCAGATCAAATCTGTGGTGAATACTACCGCACAGACTGTGTGGTCTAGTTCAGGCTGCACCATCAGCACGAATAGTTGAAGACCCAAGTTCAGGACAGCGAGGGAAACCACAAAGACTAAGTGGAGCGCAAGGGATTGCTTGGGTAGCCACAGCGACACATTTTAGACACTCAGAGATCATTGCTTCTTCCCCTCTGCACATCTTCCCCATGAAAAGGTTATGGGGGAATTAAAAAAAAAAAAAAAAGGAGGAACACCTTGACTCAAAAAGAAAAAAACTTATAGGGCCACCTGGTTGGCTCAGTCGGTTAAGCATCTGACTTCAGCTCAGGTCATGATCTCGAGGTTGGTGAGTTTGAGCCCCACGTTGGGCTCTGTCGGAATCTGTGCTGACAGCTCAGAGCCTGGAGCCTGCTTCGGATTCTGTCTGCCTCTCTCTCTGCGCCTCCCCCACTCGTGCTCTGTCTCTCTCAAAAATAAATAAACATTAACAACATAATAAAAATAAATGTTTAAAAAAGTGTTTTAAATATAAAGCGATCATCTGTACTGCCTGGTGTTTATTTGGCCAAAACATTTTCCTTGATCCCTCATCACTTAATGATGCTGTATCATCCAAAAGACTGTTCATTATGTGTGGCCCATTTGCCTACTCTAGTTCTGTAAGAACAAGATAGAGAGGCTTAGGAAACACTTGTACTCCACTCTGTTTTTACATCATTACTCCTCTTCTTCCATTAAAAAGCCTATCTTACTCTCTTTTTAGGTAACAGCATGACTAAATACACTGAGAAGCTAGAAGAGATCAAAAAAAGTGAGTAACCCTATTGATGGTTTGGGATAATGGAGCCCTGTAGTTCTAGAAGTTGGTCATTAACAACCTTAGCCCTTCCCTACAGCTGACACGCACAGAGCTGTGGGAGGCAGGTGGGCCTGGCAGGTGCCTAGAAGGATGTGGGAAACACCGCGTACCATCCCGGCCATCTGCTAAGGTTGTTGCCTGAGGGCCAAGTTCTGCCCAACTTCTATCCCAGAGGAGATGTTAGTGCTAGAATGTAGAATGAGCTCTACTTAAGCAGTGAAAAGTCCGAGCTGCTGGTTTCATTGTGCTGCAGTCTCCATGACCTTTTCCAAGGTCGTGATCTTTCCCATATTCTTAGTTTTCTCTATACCTGAGATGGGAATAATATCATCCCTTATTTTATAACATCCTTTTGTATATAAATTAGTATCCATGGAAGACACAGAGGAGTGAGGGAGAAAGCTTAAAGCGGTGCTCTGCTTTACAAATTCATTGCCGTCCCTGCTTTCCCTTAATTAAAAATCATATTTCATGCATTCCTTTTTAAAAACTAATCATCTGCAAAGATACGCTACTTGTCATTTCGTGCATTACCCTTGCACAAAAGCATACTTTTTCATTCTGTGTCCAAAATAGATGTAAAGTGTACACATCAAGGCCAGGGCTAAAGAAGAAGGAGAAACATCTATTTTCTAAGATGGATTTGTTCATATTCTCCGGAGAAGAACCCAGAGCCAGGGGAATATTTAGCTGATGATAGCAAAGAGGCACTCTGCTGGTTAACAGTTCAGGACTCCCCTCTGGCAATATACGCCTGTTGGGAAGAGAATATTACAAATCCAGAATTCACCGGAACTTCTGTTTTTACACAGCAGACCTTTTCATTTAAATGATAATGTTTCTGCTTCTTTGGGATTGCTGTGGTATCAAGAAACCCCCACCAATAGTGTAGACTCCGGACCAGCTTCACGCTGACTCTGTTATTGGCCGTGTTCAGCTGTAAGGAATAATGTCATAGACATTTGGTTTTTAACGTGTCCTGTCACAGTATCCTTTTCTTCTTCGATCCTTTATATTAGATGTTAGAGTTTTATTACATTTTACATTTACATAAGTATATATATTTTAAGTATGTAGTACACATTGGAAACTACGAAAAAAGTCTCATTTACTCACCCATGCTTCATCGTCGTCGCCCGTAATTCATCCACAGCAGGTAGAATTCAGCCGGCCTCCTTCTGTTTGGGTTTACGGTCCCTTTTCCTCCTCTATCCATTCGTAGCTTAGTGTAAAGCTCACGTGTCCACACCAAACTTTGTCCCCTAATAACGCCCCATTCCGCCCAGATCACCAAGCCCTGTTTAAAACATTTCTTAAAAGCACAATGTGATTTCTTTAATACCTACACTCTAAAGGGAGCTTCTCTTCCCCCACCCCACCCCCGCCCCCAAATACCTCTAGAATATAGTCCTTGCAAATGTTTGCTTCCCTCTTTAGAAGTGTTGGACTTCCTTTCAGTAAGACAGGAGGCGCCTCTCACCTTGTTTCACACAGTTTTTGCTGATTCCCTGACTAGAATTACTTCAGATTCTGGTTTGAGATCTACATTTTGGAGGCTATTTCCTTCTCTTTTCCCATTTTCTGTTGTAGATGTTCTTTTGGGTCGAAAGGGAGGAGAATATTGCCTTGTTTCATGACACCCTAGACCCATCACTTTTCTCGGGTTACCTTAGATGCCGTGTCTTTCTGTGAAATCACAAACCTTGTTCTGTTACTTCCTTTGATTTGTCTTCCACTGTGAGCCCAACTTCCCTCTGCTAATAACGCGTTTTAACAGAACCCTGAAAACGCAGAATTCCTTTGTAATCTGAATATTCTTTCAACTCTATCTCGGGAAAATAGACACTCTGTGTCTATTGACCGCTCACAAAGCCTATTCTTGGCTTCTGGTGGTTAGGTGACACTAGCTGGACCCAGTGTGAAGCATCCTAGATAGTCAGGTCTCTGTCCTTCCAGTAACTCGAGAGAGTCAGGCTTAGACTCCAGACTTACTGGAGAAGCAGAACTTGATAACATATCTGAAACTCAGATTTTTTGTCTCCATCCCGGAGTTTGGGAGCGGCGACAGTAGCAGAGCCTCCATTCTTAAAGCTCTGTTCGCCCTTGCAAGGACGGACTGACAGAGCTTTCCAAGTCATCCTTTTTCATAAAATTTAAAACTTACTGTCAAACGTCTAGTTTGATCTTTTATCTCTGAGTAATAATGTCAGAAAGTCCCAATGATGGCAGCTGTCCTTCTAAACAAGAACCAGGTATGTAGAGTTCAGGCTCAAACGTGCAGTGGGGTGTCTAGTGCCTGGAGGGTACTGGAAATGCCAATCAGTAGAACGTGGTAGAACCTGGTTTTGGTTTGAGATAATTTCTACTTAGTCAAAGGGGATTTGAAAGTGTGCCTTTTGTACCGGGCATGTGAAGAATCAGAGAGGTATTTCAGACTTTGTAACGGTACAAAAAGAATAGCAGGGGACAAACGTCACAGTGCAGACTCCTTGAAAGCTGCTGACTTTTTATTGGCCTATTTATTGCCATTTTGATTTGCATAAATGGCTTTGGCGGGCAAATTGGTGGCGATTGAGAGGAATACTGTAGTTGTTCAAGCTTCTGCCCAGCCCTCTTGGGGCTACACCTTGGTGAGTCTTAGAAGGTCCTTTGCATCTAGGTGTGTTACCTTGTATCCAGAAGAAGTTATTCTGAGAATTTTCTATAACTAATGGTTCGTTGTTAGCCACATCACTCTCTTTGAGATATCTTAGAACATAGAAGCTTTCATTCGTTGCAGCTGAGAGTCTTGATATATTTACAGAAGGCTCGTTTTTAAAGTACTATTATTTTCTGACCCTGAGTTGTAAGGTGTTTGGTAAACCAAGCTAACATTACCCTCCAGAGTGTTCATTGTGTGTTGGTTTTAGAAAATTCATGGATATGATGAGAAACACCAGTAAATCATTTTAAATACTTTTAATCCTATTCTTTGTTGCTAGGAGGCTCGGTTTAGGAGACTTTTTTGCTCTGAAGGCCATAGTAATTATCCACCTAGCCTTTAATGATTCTGAAATAATGCGACAATGTTTGAGGAGTCGTGGGTGCCAATATGAAAACAGAGAAGAACAGTGGAGTGTAGGGGTGGGTGAGAGTTCAATGCCAGAAACTCTTTAGAATTGGCAGTCATCTTCAGAAAATTGCAAGGGAGCTAACTTTTAGCATGCCTCCATGGGACAGGTACAAAATCAAGTGAGATTGGCTAAATTTTCAAAAGACCTTTCAAATGTGATGTGAAGAACTGTTAACACAGACAAGTGCAGAAGGTACCCCCTTTTGAGTTATATCTCAGAACCATAAAGATAGCACCGAATAAAAATGGATGTTTTAGGATGATTTTTTTGTTGTTGATTGTGGTAAAAAATAAATAACATAAAATTTACCATCTTCACCATTTTTAAGTGTTCGGTGCAAGTGTCAAGTACATTCACACAGCTGCATCATAGATCTCGGGAACTTTTTCATCTTGTGCAATGGAGTAGGTGGATTTTTACTGAAGGTGGAATTGCAGAGAAACTGATAGAAAAGTATTGTACCCTGGAAAATAAAAGGTTGTCCTGGGTCTCCAGCGTAATTTGTAAGCTCAGGAATAGAACTGTTCTCTCCTCCAGGCAGAGTTAGAATAGTAGGGTGTAAATGTCCCACCAGCTCTTTGACCCCAGGGCAACTCAGCTTCTCTGGGTCTCTGTTCTCATCTGTAAGACGCAGACATTTATTCCCAGCTTTGTTCTGAACAGGATTTAAAGTAGTGAAACATGCATGCGAGACAACATGGTCAAAGGAGAGACAGCAGAGTAAAAGGAAAATGGTAAATGGATAAAATAAACATGAGGGTAAAGTCACTAGACAGAAAAGGGTCGCTTATAAACTCAACTTTAGGCAAAGGGGGAAAAAATGAAGAGATGATAATCATACCTGCCACACTTAATTCTGAGGATATCTTGAGGCTCAAATATTAGATAATATATGTAAAAGCATATAAATAGCTTGCAAATTATACCATGTAACTTGATGACTAGAAAGAATGAGGACCTCTAAGAAAGAAAAATATACCTACAAAATTATTTGTTCTGTCCTGCTTTTCAGATTATAGGTACAAAAAAGATGAGCTTTTCAAGAGACTGAAAGTTACAACTTTTGCCCAGCTGGTAAGTTCAGTGATCGAGTATTGGTTTATGTGAGTATTTCTAAATTCCACTCTAGGTGATGTTGGCAGAAGGATTTCTTCTGCTTCTGTACATTTCACCTATGGGAGGATAAGAGGTGTGTAGTGTGTATACTCGTTCAAGGATGGTGTGAACTGTCTTTGATAAGAATTTTATAAAGTAAAAGATGCATTCTACTTTTAAATCATTGCATTTATGGCTTAGGCTGTATTTTTCCTTGCACGCTTTAATTTAATGTTTAGAATCTAGAACTCTGGTCTCTGGAGCTTCACTGACATACCTCCAGGTGGATCATGGGTCTTAGGAACTCAGCTGTGAAAAGTGCTTTAAAAACTGTATGTGTGTGTTGGTATATGGTGCTGTGTAATTATATTCATAATGACATTGATTTCTTCATTGCACGTACAATTGCTGATTCAATTCTGTCATGGTTAAGTATTGTGTGTTGTGTGGGGACGGGAATCTGTATGATCATTTATGCATGTTTCTTGTCCTAAATCATCCTTTTGACTTTTAAGTTTATTGCGTGATGTTTTAAACAAATCTTTGTTTCTGAATGATTATCCTTGGTGTAATTACCACTCCCCAAAGTAAGGAGGCCTGAGATTTAGTCTGCAGATGAGGACACCGACAGTTTCTTAAAACAAGAGATCTTTGATGTTGCCTTGCCTTTTGTTAAAGACAGAATTGCCTCTGTTTAAAGACAGACAAACATAAACACATCTACACGTTTCCTTCTTTTTTCAACCAGGTCATCCAAGTGGCTTCCCTATCTGATCAAACGCTGGAAGTGACAGCTGAAGAGATTCAAAGGCTAGAAGGTAATGAGAATTGAGAACGTGGGGAAAATAACTGATTGACCATTTGACTGGAGTTCTCACCCTGTCCACCTATGCTCTTGTGTCTACAGGGAATTGGTACTTTGATATATCTATTTGTAATTAGACTGTTGCTTTCTGAGACATGCTATCTGGTGCTTTCATTGTTACTTCTCATTTCTTTTAAAAAACCATCTGGTTTTCCGGCTCTAGTTTTTAATGTTTTTTTGTTTGTTTGGTTGGTTGGTGTGTTTTTGTAGTTTTAAATGTTTCATATGTGTTTAATATACTAATTACTTTTTTCTACAAATATTTTTAGTTCCTTCTGTCTATGTACAGGTCACAGAGTTAGGTGCTATGAGACCACAAAGATGACACAGCTCTGCTCACATGGAGTTGGTAGTCTCATGTGCACATGTGCTTGCGTGTGTGCGTGTTGGGTGAGGGAAATGATAACAGAAGCACAAAATCACGAATGTGGCAGAAATTCGTAATGGGGGACTAGAGAGAAGCCATCATTTGTTGATATATATTGCTGAGTACTTCACACAAGTTTCCTTATTTAATCTTATCAAAAACTCCAGAAGAAAAGTATGCTCAGAGATGAGAACCCCCAGCCTCAGAGGTTCAATTACTTGCTCAAGATGATACAGCCTGTAAGGGATGGGTGTAGGATACAAATCTACGAGGCTCCGGTAGCAACCAGTGTCTTTGTTCTGAGAGTTCTGAAGAAGGAAGAGTACTTTCCAGTTAGAAAACTGAGGTAGACTTTCTTAAAGCCTTTGAGCTGGACCGTAATGGAGGGTAGAATCTGAACAGGTGTCTTGCACCCTGAGCAAAGGCATGGAAAGAATGAAAAGCTCCAAGCGTGTTTGAAGAGTCACATCATCTAGCCCGACAATGACCTGGGGTGGCGTAGGTGCTAGGTTGGAGATAGGGAAGATAGGTTTCCAACTCCAGGTTTCTTTTCTTAAATGCTAAGTCGGAAAGAAAACCTCTCAGTTGCATTATCAGGAAAAGAATCCGCCGAGTTAAGGTCTTTATTTTATCCTGAGGCCCTCAACCGTCAACGTGTGGCTGTTTATTGAAGGGGAATGTGTTTTGTTAAGGTTGATGTAGGCCAGGAATTTGACTTCGGATTTCAAGACCAGTTTCTCAGGAAGTCTGAACACTGGTTTTGTGCAACTTAACTGTCATTTCCCTGGGCTTGTTTTTGTTAGGGAGGATAAAGAGCATCTGACAAAGACAGGAATTTATCTTTGACAGATGCCTCTCACACGGTAGAGAAAGAAGGGCTCTTTGTAACAGAGATAATTGAGTCTCCTCATACAAGTACTCCCAATTTTAACCTGGTTATATAAGTACCTGGATTTGGTCCTTGAATTCATGGAGATTGCAGCAGCAGAACATATGGGCACATGCAATTTTCTCTTCTGAGATAAATTTGCACAGCAAAATGGGCTCTTATAAAGTAGGACACCATAATGTGTGAGTAATATTAGTGTTTTTCTAGTGCTCTACACAGAATAATAACTCACTCAGGAAAGCCTGTAGAACAGATTGTATGCATATTGGCTATTTTTGAAGGAACAAAAAAAACCTCCTTTTGTGATGTTTATTGTTTTTTTTCCCTGACTTCAAAGCATATTTCTAGAAAATTGCAAAAAATAAGGAAGAAAATTAAAATAATAATCCCTGTTAACATTTTGCTCTACTCTGCCCCTAACTGCCCACCCGAATCCATATTCTTTGTGCATACTTTTGAATTGTGCTGTTTCAGATTAGCGTTTTATCATGCCTACTGTCCTGTGTCATTGAATAGACCTCAAAAGCTTAATTGTAAAGGTTGTGTCATCATATAATGTCTGTCCTTTGGATATACCATAACCAATTTAACTCTTCTCCTACCAGACAGGACAGGTTTTCAAATTTTTCACTTTTCTAAAATAATGCCGCAGTGTAAATACGTAAATGTGTGTGTGGTTTTGATGATTCCCTGAAGATACATTTTGCTGCAGATGGTCAAAGGGCGGAACCATTTTAAGACACTCTGCGCTGATTCCAGCTATGTCCAGGATAGGGGCTTCCTTTTTGCATTCCCAGCAAATAAATGAAAAGACCTGTTCCTCCCCATCCCAGGCAGTGCTGAGGAATTCTCGTTTTGGCACGTGCCTGCCAACTGGACAGATGAAAAGTAGTATCTGATCATTTTCTTTGGAATCTCTCCGGTCGCGAAATGAGCCTTGTGTATGTGTGCGAATTTTGGTCACATAGATTTCTTCTTCTGAAAACATTACCTGTTCTTTCCCATTTTTTTTCTCACAGAGCTCTCATCCTTTACTGATTTGGAAAAGCTCTGTATATTAGGGTATCTTTAAACATTGGAAACAAGTACAGCCTCGAAAATGAGAAAAGGCTTTACTTTGGAGCAGTATCCAAATCCAAATCTCCATCGTCAAGTAAAAATAAAATAACGACAAAACCAAGCACCTAAATGTAGAGCAGTATGAGTGGCATTCTCCTTATATGTAAAAAGGGGAGGAAATAAACTATATACAAAAGTACGTAGTTGTTTTCTTTCTGGAAGGAGACATCAACGTGAAGGCAATTCCCTTGGGAGTGGGGGTCTGGACTGGGAAGGGACTTCCTTTCCATGTTAACAATTTTATCTTGTTTGCATTTTTACCTGGTGCACATGATCTTTTTTCAATTAAAGCACTAGTTAATTTTTTTAACTATGTAAATTAAGTATATCAAGCTTTTCTCATGCATATATGTCCTAGATATTTTTCTTAATTTGTTTCTCACCTTTTAATTTTCTTTGTGTGCAGTTTTGACATACACAAGATGTGCATTTTTATATGAATTAAATCTATTAGCCTTTCATGTTGTGTTTTCTTTTATTACCTATGA